CATGGGCCACGAAGTTTCAGTTGCACTGTACATGCGCACCCGCACGTGGTATTTTGTGGAAGAGCCACACTCAAGGGGCCAAAGAGCCGCATGTGGCTCGCGAGCCGCGGTTTGCCGACCACTGCCCTACCGGTGCACGAATTTTGTGCACCAGGCCTCTAGTTACTTTATAAACTGAAAGCAGTGTTTCATTCAGCCCTCATAAAAGTCCTATGAAATAGGTAAGACAGAAAGCAGTACATTCATTTCCCAGGTGAGGATAGTAAAGCTTAAAGTGATTATGTAGTTTTTAATACATGACTGCTCAGATGGTAGACTGGAACTAAATATTCCAATTCTTAATGTAGTTCTGTTTTCACTACACTGTGCTGCCAGTATGTGCTAACCAGTTATTCACTGGAAACATTTGCCAGGATAAGGAAATGAAAAGGTAATTTTATGCTAGTCTTCTTAGGCCCAAGGGGTGGTAATCAACAGATGTAAGTTTCCGTTATGTCAGTTATAAAGTACAGTTGACCCTTGAACAACATGCATATGAATTGTGCAGGTCTGCTTATACACAAATTTAAAAAAAAACAAACTGAAATGTATTTTCTCTTCTTTATGATTTTCTGAATAACATTTTCTTTTTCTTAGCCTTCTTGTAGGAATGCAGTATATAATACACATAGCATATAAACTATATGTTAACAGACTGTTTATGTTATCAGAAAGGCTTCTGGTCAACAGTAGGCTGTTAGTAGTTACGTTTTGGGGAAGTCAGAAGTTATACATGAATATTCGACCTGTGCTGGGGGTTGGTGCTCCTAACCCCCGTGTTTGTTCAAGGGTCCACTGTACTGTCCTCTGCCATTTAAGTAATTATTGTTTATCAGAAGTTTTTGGAAAAGAATAGTTTTTTGGGGTGGTAGATGAGCTGTGCTGGGTACACTGTTGGATGTGCAAAACCTTACTGAAGGGTGTCTGTGGGACAGCAAAGGAGTTGAATGGTCAAAGCGAAAAAGTAATCAAGTAGCAGGTTACTCTTTTCAATCATGGCTGTTTTGTATACGCTTTACTAAAATAATCTTATTTATTTTTGCAGTTTAATCCCCTCTCTCCCCTTTACTCCCTGGATGTTCTTGCTGATGCTTCTCACCGACGGTGTTCACCTGCACACTGCTCTGCCAGGTAATGAATGGTCTTCTTGTGGCGATTTCTTCCAGACAATGCCGTTTTTCTTTTTACAACACCTTTTGAATTATGAAGTGTGTTTGTGTATAGTGTCCAGTTTGATCTTTACAACAGTCTTTTGAGGTCAATGGATGTTTTCAGATGTAGAAACTGAGGCAGAGTGGCAAGGTAACTTCCCTATGGTCATGTGACTAGTATGTGATTTAAGTTTCAACTTTGACCTAGTTTTCTGGCTCATATTTCATATTTCTTCTACAAGCCCCATCTTCAGAGAACATTATTAATGATCCTTGCCATGACCTGCAAAATTCTGCATAATCTGACTTCTGCCTATATGTCCAAACCCCTTTCATAAACGTCTTTCTCCTCACTGGGGGAGGGATCCAGCTGCACCAGGGAGCTCCATTTTGTTCTTCAAAAGTAGCAACCCTTTCCTGCCTCTGAACCTTCACACGTGCTCCCTTTACTTGGACTGCCGTCTTATAGCAGTTCCCAGGATTGGCTTTTTCTCATCTCAGCCTCCTCAGGGAGGACCTCTTAGACCATCCTATTTAAAGGGGCCACCTCTACCACTCTGCTTACTATCTGTTTCTTTTTTATTAGAGCGTTAACATTGTCTATATTGACTTTGTTTATTGGGCTCCCCCCCCCCCCCACTAAATTTTAAACTTCAGCAGGGACCT